AGCTTCTCAATATCCTCTTTAGAATCGTTCACTCTACTTTTGTTGTTCACTTGCTAGATTACTTCCTTTTAATATAGATCCATTCTTCTTGCTTTATGGTTGTGTTTCTTGATATCACAAGTGACTAAATATCTAAATTTGAGTGGGTTTATTTGTTGAATTGGTCCAGGTAGAGCTTAGTTAATACAACACTTAATCGAGTGGGTCTTACAACCAAGTTTTAAGCACACCCATCTCTAATCAGTCTATCAATATGTAAGTTATGCACTTCTATATTCTCGGTTAAGATTTTAGAATTTGTTTTCAGATTCCCATACTCACATTTCATAAGTCACAAATTATGCCTAGGAGAGAACATTTTTTATTTCCAATTTCAGATGAAAAAACTTATTTGTTTGTTTGAATCTTTTGGTTTTGCTTGTATATGTAAAAAGTTAGTTTGTTCACAATGATATTTGACACATTGTGCATATGTTTGATTAGTATCTTTTAAATTCGTACCTTCTTTCAAACTTTCTTTTTTTAGATTTATAAGTATGTTTGTTTGTTTAACTATCATTTTGTTTCACAATCATTTTCTAGTTTGCACCTGTTCAGATAGGTTAAGCCAAAGCTGAGGGTATTTTCTCTATTATCTTCAAGAAGGTATTTCTTTTACTCACATCTTTTTTTTCCTTTTTTTATGTCTATGAGCATTTGAGGTGAAGATATAATTTCCAGTTTAAAATCTTTCAATAGGCTTTTTGTGTGTGTGTGGGTGGTGGGGGAGGGGTTAAGATATATTTTTTTACACTAAATAAACTTTTGGTTATATATCCTCATATATAAAAATATGTAGACTTTAACTATCATTACACTACGAGTAATTATTATGTATTCATTCTGTTAACATTTATATCTACATTCTTTGGCTATATCATTTTCATTTATAATAATTTATACTGTCTATTTGAAGTGTGCTAACTCTTCTCAGAAACAACCTTATGAGGTAAATAATGGGGATGAAGATAATGGCTAATGAAGTTGGTGGCTTTATTTCAACACAATAGACTAGAAACACTTGTGCCTTTGAGGGAGGCTAGACGTCAAAGACTATGGCTTGTGAGAGATCTTTCAAGCGTCGTCGTAAGAGTATAGGCTCTATTGCTGAATCATATGTTGCCTCTCAACCGTCTTCCGTGCAAGCTCTCACGGAGGATATTTCCTAGATGCTTCCCGAACCCATTGTCCAAACGATACTAGATGAGATGCAAAGATTTTTGGGGACGTTTGCCTTGTAGACACGATGGAGCAGATGGTGATGGAAGTGCACATGTATGTTAGGTTATTGTTTAATTGATTAATGCAAAACAATAGATATTATTATAAGGATACTTGACAAGTACATGAAGTTTTATGGAAAATATTGAAACTCTTGTTTTGTGGAATACATGTGTTTGAGTATGTTTGAGTATCCCCGCTACATTTGATGGTTAAGTTTGTGTGAAATTGAGCATGCACGTAGTACGTCGTGGTTTTTTTCAACTTTTGCAACAAAATATTTCGTTGCAGTTGAGATATTATTTTCGGTTGCAAATGAATATTTTTCGTGGCAAATATTAGTATTGAAATTTCCGTTGGTTTTTTCTGTTGCAAAATTTTGCAAAAGAAAAACAGTTGCAAACGTTTGTTGCATTATGTTGCAACAGGATTTCTGTTGCAAACGCTAGTAACGACCTTTCTGTTGCATGTTTTCCGTAGCAGCATTGTGCAACAACATTTCCGTTGCAAATTTCCGATGCATTGCTTTGCAATGGAAAATCCGTTGCAGATATGAATCTGCAACAATGGTTTTTGCAACGGAAAAATTTTAACAGAATATCCGTTGCAATCAACATTAGCAACGGAATTATACAAAAAATGCAACGGAAATTGTCGTTGCAAAATAATGGACGGGGAAGATGAACGGCCCCGGAAAATAAAAATAAATAAAATTCTGAATTTATAATTTATTCAGAATATTACAAAATAAGCAAAGCTGAAAATAAATTGCTATATCTTCAAATGGCCTTGTTGTACGAGGACATTAAGGACTGGACAGCGAGGACGTTAAGCACTGGACAACGAGGTCTTTAAGCACTGGACAGGGATTCAAAGACGTTATGCACAGGGCTGCGAGGACATTATGTACTGGGCTGCGAGGACATTATGCACTAGGACAGACTGCAGCAAGGTCTTTATGAACTGAACCTGCAAAAACACAACACCGTGGAAGGACAGCGGAGTCGCCGGAGCTGTCCTTAAGGTAGTAGTGCCCGCCTACCGTACCGGAAAAACGTGGGCACTCTCCTCCCAAGATAAAACCGCTATCGTGTGTGGAGATTGTACGGACCAACCACACACCAACGAACAAGAACAACGTAGGAACGTTGACGACCAAAAACTTTAAAAGGGGATGGCTGGAAAATTTGGCCGGAAAATCAAGAGCTCTCTTAAAATATTAGAAAAGAAAGTTTTCCTTCCTTTTCCTTTTGTTTCTCACGTGATGCACACAACAAACAAATGGAGAGAGCCTTTCACCTTTATAACTAAGCCATTTCAAAAGGTGTAACCTACACACCATTAAGGCTTAGTATTAAACATGGCATTTGTGGTGTGTTAATGGAGATTAATTAGCCATTAACACGTCCGTTACGCTACGTTCCGTTTAAAATTTGTCCCGAATAATTGAGATTAATGGCCAGTTAACTCCGTAAAAATGGACTAATTTTAAACAATACGTAAAATTAATAAAAGAAGATTGGTTCAGTAAAATTGCAAAAATTGCAATCCTCACCATATTCTTTTATTAACGGGTTAACTATGAGAATCAATTTCTCATTCACCCTCTACCATTTTTGGCGTATAAATTGTCAAAACATTTATCTCATTTAAGAGAACACACGTCCATTAATTAACGATTAAAACCGTTAGTGGACCTATTGACAAATATACCCAAATTGGTTCATTTAATGCCAATTAAAAATGCCAAAAATTCCAACAATCCCCCACATGAATGAAAAATTGATTTGGGGTCGACAACATCCCATGATTGAAAACCTGCAAAGAACAGGTAAGTGTCTCCACTTTTGAACCTGTCCCTTGTAAAGTATACCTTCTTTACTGGCTGTTCAGTAGAACGCGATGTCTTTGAACTGTACAACCAACCTATGTGACACTCATAACGAATATAAACCTGATATTGACTCGAGTCGGCACGTGCAGTGGGTACTCGATCCAAAGTCACCTGTTTGGAATAACCAGGGATTGAGAGTCAGCTTGCTGTGAACACCCTAGAGCGGTGAACGACCGACCCTCTCGAGTAAAATGGGGGGGTGACACGTCGCAAGGGGATGCATCCATACCCCGGGCCCCAGGGTCCAACGAGTCGATAATGAAGTGACTGAGGTCAGAGCAATGGGCCCTAGGAAACGTGCACCGACAGCCAAAAGTGCAATTGTTGCCAAGATCCAACCTTGATAACCTACACCCTATAGGTGCCATCTCCACCATTGTTAAATCTATAATTGATCATTGTTTACTTTCCATTTCTTCGATGTTACTATGTATTGATGTCGTAATTATTATTATTATTTACTCCCCATCATTGGCATTGATCATCGCAATGTTGGTATTGCTTCTTACTAAGCACCATGAAAAGGTTACTCTTAGTCGCAAATGATAATAGTGTTCACCATTATTATTGCATTTTGTCAAAACACTATTGACTTGCGTTATTGCCCTATGTCAGAATATCATTCTCAATCACAACAATGATACAAATCTGATGGTGCGAAGGAAGAAAAATAAAATAAACAAGCAGAAAGCGACACAGATATGGTAGGGAGAAATAAGTGAGAAGGAAAGGTAGATGCCGGCCGCAGGTAGAAGGTGGCAATGACACGACTTTGATGTGTGTGAGGAGAGGATGAAGAATAGTTGAGCCGGTCCCTACATAGGAGCCACCAACCCCATTAACAACTATACTTTGCGAAGGTTAGCTTAGATCCTATATATGACTGACTTCCACATGCTAGATAAATGTCCACTTTTCACATTCAAGCTCGAACTAGACCGAACACATCCTATTAAGTTAGAGCTTTGAAGACATAAGATGAGTATACTCTTCTCGGTTTGAGCTTTGGATAGTCCTCATACAACTCAAGCAAGTGGAAAAATAAAGATGATCAAATACCGAATCGATCTTGAAATTTCTTGAAAAAATCAAACTAAAAAAATAGAAAAATGAGTGGTGGAAAAATTCAAAAGAAAATAAATAAATAAAAATCAAATAAAAATGAGTGGTGGAGAAGAGGGTGGTGTACATTTGGGGGACAAGGAGGGGATGTGGGACATATGGGGTACACCTTTGGTGTACCCTAGCATTTTTCTATTTTTATAGTTGGATTTCTTGTTCTTCGCGTCCCTAGCATTTGCTCAAAAAAATATTACAGAGTATAAAAAAACATCATTATCATTCTATTGAGGAAATGACTATGAAAAGGGCCATCATTGTCATTCGCTATACGGATATGGGAGGGGTTGGTCAGATGCTCAGATCAAAGACATAGGCAACAAGTCTTGGGAGGCTACGACCCTACGAGCAAGAGGCAAGACCTATTCCTATAGATGCTAATCTCGTAGAAAATGGAATTTGTTTGAAACTTTATCACACCCTTCACTCTGCTCAACGCCGCCACCTTACTTTATTATTATTGTTCTCCCTTCACAAATGGAATTCTCAGGGTTTGCAGTACTCAATTTGTTCCGTTGCTAAGGAATTCTCGTTTTCACAGGTCATTTGGCGTCCTCAGTTTTCATCTCCAGCAAGTGTATCATGGTCGTTGTGGAAGCAGTTCCCGAGCCTGTCGGTTTAAAGCAGCCATGGGTTCTTACAGTGCATTCCTTTTCTGATTTGTCGCATGTCCCGCCGGTTGTATTCTTATATCTGCTCAAAGAATGTTATGTCTGCGGTAATGTTTCTCGCCTACTGTGTTCATATATTGTTGAACCATAATGTCTTTGAGCTGTTTTGAAAAGATGCCAGCCACTTTCTATTTTTTGCTCATATAAAGCAGACATCTTTTAGGTGCCACCAGATTACTTTGTTATAAATTTCCAGTATGTATCCAATATGAATCAAGCTTCTGTTGTGGGGACAAATAGAGGTGGATTTCTTTTTCACTCTCTTGCTGGCATCATGTGACTTTTGCAAAATGTTTTTGATCTAATAATTGGATTCCTCTCGGACTGAGGGCTTGCCGGAGCTAGCACATGCAAACTAATACAAGCTCACTAAAAGTTTGGGTTACTACTTACTAGATAAGTGAACTTGAACAACATTTGGGAGCTCTTTATGAGTTGACAGTGAACATCATGTACTTCTATTGTATTTGTGTGGTGTCAACTAGTTTTTTTTTTCTTGCAATAATATGCAATACATTTTTCTCTATTGTACTTGCCATGTTATTGTTTGGAACCACATATTAGTAATACACACTAATACACTATGCAAATACTATGTAACTTATCTCTAATGAATAATTGCCATTCCCAGACACTATGTAATTCACGAATATAATTGAACTCTGATGAATAATAGCCATTCATAGGCCCAATCTTTGTGAAGCTCCCCTATTATTTTTTTGTTGCTAAATCTTTGTAGTACTTGTTACTGTGTTACAATTATAATTGTTTAGGACGATTTAGTATCTCTTCGTGGAAACTAGCTACTCCATTAAAGTAGTCTTCAAACATGATGAGCATAAGTACATAACGCATGAAAATTTATGCAATTACAAGATTGCATAAATTTGTGGCATCTCAGACCCCACGCTGTGGGATTTTACTGGGGTTGTTGTTTTTGTACAAGATTGTTGCATTTCACATCTTTTAAAGAGTTTTCTTGTTTTATATCAAAAGCTGTCTTTGTTAACAGTCAGAAAGGGCTGGGGCATTGGGTTAGAGTTTATCCTAACATATTTTGTTTTGTTAGGGAATTCAAAAGCTACTACAAAGTTTCGTGCTCTTCAACAACAAGTCTATCTGGCTCTTAACAATGCCCCTCATCCTGGACCAGCTGTGTTCGTCATTCACTGCATGTATGTGCTGCCGTTGTTTGAATCATATGCTGAAGGTTTCAGCCATTTGATTATATCTGCTTTACGTAGATTCCTGAAATACAATACCAACTCAGCTGACACTCTACAAGCTCAGGATCTTGCTGCTCAGTTATTTTTGAATGTTGTTCAAGGATCTGTAATCCATGACGAGAGGATCCTTACTAAGATTATTGAAGTTTTTAATGTCAAATTTGTAAATCTTGAAAAAGCTTGGGCAAGTACAGCATCAAATAAATCTGGTTTTGACAAGGCAGAAGCATTTATTGAGAGTTATGTCCAACAGTTCATAGAATCTCAGTCATATATGATGGCTGTGTCTCTGTTGGAACAGTTCTCTATCACACTCTCTGGAGAATCTCTCCTGTTCAAAATGTTACAAGAGCAGGATTTTAAATCAGCCGAGAAATGGGCAACATATATGGGTCAGTCCTTGCTGTGTGTTCTTGTAGAGGAATACGTCAAAATGAATAAACTGAAAGCAGCATATCGAATTATAAAGAAGAACTCTCTTCAAGAGATTTTTCCAGATGTGTACCATAAGTGTAAAGAAAGGTGATTTTCCTATTGAATTGTTACTTCAGAATGAGATTCCAGCCTCCTGTTTAAAATATAAGCATTGCTTGTCCAAATGGTAGTGCATTGAAGACTCTAGCAGAAAAGGGATGCTGGGATGTTGCTGAATGGAAGGCACAGAATGATAGACAACTTCTCGAATATCTGGTAAGTGGCATGTTGATAAATCTAAGCTTAAATCAATTCTAAACATTTTTTTACTAATGAAAAAACATCTACACTATGTTTGGTTCAAGGAATTTTGAAGGAAAAGAAAAGAAAATGGTTTTCTCTCATTTTCCTCACCAAAATGGAAGGAATTTGGTTTTCCCTCCACTTGGTACATTTTGCCTCCTCATTTTCTTTTCCTTCCACTTTTCCTTTCTTTTCCCTTCTTACCAAACAAGAAAAATGGTTTTCCACTTCATTTTCTTTTCTTTTCCCTTTCAAATTCCTTGAACCAAACATAGTGCTAAGGAATTTTCCAAGAGACCACGTAAGCTTTACTTGTGGTGAATTCCATATAAAATTAGTTTCTACACTTCTGCTAGTGAGATTATGTGTATGCTGTAAAATTTATTTGCTTGCTATGACTTACTATTTGTACTTATTTCATTATTACAACTTCATTTGTTTGGTCATGCCCTCATGCGTAATATTATGTTTCCGAAACAAAATTTGCACACTAACTACATTCCTTATTGTGTACCTGCCTGCCAGATAGGTTCTAACACCTATGTTTACTTTAAAAGGTATATCTAGCACTGGAAGCTGGCTACTCGGAGAAAGTTGATGAATTATGTGATCGATACTCCTTTGAAGGATTTGTTAAAGCTAAAGGTATCTGAATTGGTCTCATTCTCTCCTCATTAATCATATTGCAGGCTTTAGAATCTTTTTTTTGGTGGGAGTGCGGGATATAATACATAGGATGTTCTGGACGGTATGCCCCATTAGGCATTTGCATGATGTCAAAATGTTGAATGATGATGGTGTATGTAGTAAAAGATGTCTTGGAGATGCAATTTCTCAATCTGTGGATTTTGCAAGTAGTATGGGGTTAAGTAATAATAGTGCTGATTGTGTTGATTATGACAACATACCCAGTAAAAATTTGGTTTGCTGAAAATTGCGAACAACTGAACCATACGATTAATTGGGATTTCTAGATCAATTATCTGATATTTTAGTTTAAGTTTTCAATTAGCTGGTAGGAGTTTTGACAATGACACAAACCCCAGATAGAAAAATTTGAACTTGTCAAAGTTTGTGTTATTAAACCTGTAGCCGCAATTATTGATTATTGAAGGTAAACCCTATTTGTAATCCTCACAATTTACTTCGTGAGCCAGTAAATAGAGTTCTATTCTATTATGATATTGCTATTAGGAATATTAACTAATACTGTACTAATGGAAACTATCATTAGTACTACTAATTAATAATGATAATGAATTAATGACGATAATATAACAATAATAGTAATAATAATGATGATGTTAATAAGAATAATAATAGTAATAGGAATCTAATACTTATCTATTGACGATTCTTAAGCTTATTTGATTCTCCAATCCTTTCTACAAGCCTGTATAATAATGTTCTTGTTGTTACTTTTGAAGTATATTGTGCCTTAGTACCTACCAATTTGCTTTTGCTCATTATATCATATAGTACTTCAACCGAGCTGTGTGCCTCAAAAGGTATGTGTATTCCATCCCAACTCCTAAAACTGTATTGTTTTGAGTATGCAGAGCCTGAAGCCTGTCCTATTCAAAGTCACTATTTGAATCTTCATGAACTGCTAATAGATGATTTAACTTGGGTTGATGATGTTGAGGGTCTACAAAAAGCTACTTCTTATATTGAAGGGTGTAAAGTTGTGGGTGTGGATTGTGAGTGGAAGCCTAACTATGTGAAAGGCAGCAAACCCAACAAGGTATTGCGGTTAATTTGTTTTTAATATTTATTGGGAGATACTAGTCCATGCATGACCAGGTTCTTGTTATTGGTCTCATTTATCTCTTCAAAGGACTACCAAAAATCATAGTGCGTGGATCTGTGGTTAAGATTCTTGTTATGAATATACCACAAGAAATCCAGTTGAATCCCACAAAAAGTAGGGTCTGGGGTGAGGGAGAGTGTACACCTAACTCCTACAGTCCAGTCCTACTTGGAATTAGAGAGACTATTTTGATGAGAAGCACAGAAGTAAAAACATTATGTAATGATTATAACTGGGATAAATGAGCTATGCTCAATTAGCCGTTGAATTGTGGGCAAGTATTGCTATATATAGTATGGATGAATGATGATTGGATGTTATCATGTCAGTGTGATGAGATTTTATGTTTGATATTGTTAATGAAATATCTTCTCTCTTGGTATTCTTCCCCTTTTGGCCCTTAATTGGGATATATCTCTTCTTCTCTACTCAATTTTTTTAGGTCATAACAAATTTTTTCTGGTTGTAGCTACTTTGATTTTTTGGGTGATCAAATAGCTCCTTTTGAGCTCACAAAGCTAAATCCCAACTACACACTACTCTCTGCCCCGAATGCCTGACAAAAACAGCACTATTCCACCCCTAATGTCTCTAAAGCTTGGGAGTAGATCTTTATAATACTTGGGGCCCTATGGATGGGTATGTACCTCAACAAAAGCCTTGTTTGGGAACAATTTTTTATTTTTTTCGATTAGCATTTTGGATAAAATTTTGATGGTGTAGATTAATTTTGAAAACATTAATGCTAAAGGCTGCCGTTAGATAGCTTTTTTAAAACGCTAGCGCTAACCTCTAAAACTATTTCCAAACAGGGCCTAAGCAAGCTACACCTGGTGGGGTGGGATGGTGTAGTGTCTGGTCCAGAAATTTTGAATTTTCAGATTAGTCTAGGAACACACAATTAATGGACATTTTTATGCAGTCCATTATAACTTATAAGTTTAAGCAAAAAATGTTACTGAATCATTTATCTGCAATGAAATAGATTTATAGTTAATGTTTGAATAGTTTTAACTGAATTAAGGATTTGTAGCATCTTGTTGAAGGTGATAAATTGTTTTTTTATTTTTCATCTTTGATCCACACCCTTTGGCAGGTTTCTATCATGCAAATTGCCTCCGAAAAGGCTGCTTTTATCCTTGACTTAATTAAGCTGTATGATGATGCTCCTGAAATTATGGATAGCTGCTTAATGCGCATTTTCCATTCACGTAGTTTATTGAAGCTAGGTATGTGAATTCTCAAAGTGCTTATAATTTTTTTGTTCACTTCTCTTGTTTTACTCTCACCTTTATAATGTGCGAGAAAGGGGTAGTTAGGGTGTGCTAAGTGTACCTCTTTCTATGGACATGATACTCTGATATTAAAAATGTAAAATACAATACTCTCTCTGTTCCACAAAAAATATGTGGTTGAAAGTTCAAATTAGTGCAGATGAGAAAAATTAATATGAGCCACAAGTTTTTTCAAAAGTAGAAAGTGATTTTTTTGGGACATGCAAAAAAAAAAAAGAAGAAATCTGAAACCTTTTTGTGGGACAGAGAATAACACTGTATTGCTCTTGTTATAGTTTACAAAACGAGGTGGAAAAACTTCGAACTTTCACATTTCTAATCTATTTCATTAGTGTTTGTCTATTAGTGAGTTTTATGATATTTGTGGCTTTCTGCTTTTCCAGGCTATAATTTTCAATGTGATATGCATCAATTGGCTCGTTCTTACCCAGAGTTTGAGTGCTTCAGGCGTTATGAAATGCTTCTAGACATCCAGAAAGTGTTTAAAGAGTCTTGTGGTGGATTATCTGGCCTAACAAAGGTACTTTTATCTATGAATGGCATTTTTCCATGCTCTTATTACCCTAGTGGATCTTTTACCTTTCACCATGTTATGCTTCTACTACCATATTATAAATAAGGTTAGTTCAAATCTCATGCATGTTTATGCCCCGATTGATGATCATTTTTAATGGTCATTTTGCTGCAATTTGGTTATTTTAATAGTTCCGATCACACAAGTATTAGAATTGACCTTGTAGCAAGAATTTAGCCCATAGAACTTGACTCAGTGAAACCCTCTCTCTCTCTGTAAATGTTATATTGAATCTTTACTTAAATATCCATCTTTTCCATGATAAAGGATGACAATAACAAACCTATCTTGCTGGAGATGGTAATGGTGAACTAGATTTTGTGCCATAAATTCTACCTACATAGTCAATTTAAATGTCAAAAAGTCATTAAACTAATCAAAATGGCCTTACTGTCACAAGTTGTCAAATGAAAAAACAAAATTGTCACCCAAGGATAAAGACTGTCTGTGTATGTATGCCTTGATTTTTTCATATTTATATTTGCCGCTTATGAATAAAATGAAGACAGAGCAACATGTCATTATCTGTGCAGAAAATACTGGGTACTGGTCTAAACAAGACGCGAAGGAATAGCAACTGGGAGCAACGACCTCTAACCCAGCAACAAGTCAGTAGTATT